ACGAGATAACCAAGTGTGAACATAATTGCCTCTGTCTCCTTCAAAAAAATAGACGATGGGTGACAACAAAATATAAACTTCCTTAAGTTTTGTCCATGAGTGCATATATATAGAAGTTTTACTAATTTTCAGTCATTAATAACTTTACAGGTGCAATTTTTTTTATTAATTACAATATATTTTTATTCCATAGCGTTCTTAAAATACTGGTCTTTACAAAAAAAAGCTGCTTACATCTATAATAAATGAATGATAGAAAGAACATAAGGTTAAGTGTATATTGAAGGAAAGGATTATTGTGATTGCCATTTGGAGAATTTTTACAGAAAATTGTGAAAAGGTGAGGAAAATATTCACAAATACAGTCGAACTTGGATAATTCGAACCCCAAGGGACTATAAAAAAAATTCGAATTATCCAAAAATTCGAATTAAAGATGTTTTGAATAAAGGCTTAAGGCTTCTAGGGACCAAGATAAATATTCGAATTAAAGAGGTTTTCGAATTAAAGAAGTTCGAATTATCCAAGTTCTACTGTATAAACATTTCCGATTCTGTCATAATGCATAATTTACAAGTCGACCTTTAAATCCTTTCATTTGTTCATTTATATACACACACTATATAGATCTCATCCTAAAAAATACCAAAATCTGAATTTTTCTAAAATAATTTGAGAAATATTTGTCTCTACAAATAGAGGTGATCCTTCTGGATATTAATCAAAAGAATTCAAAAGGTTTCTGGAGATATGAGTTTCTCTTCATTTTATTAGCGTATTCTAATGAAAAATAAACTCATCTCCAGAAATCTGTTGTATTATTTAATAAAAAAAATTTATTCTAATAAGTGCATGAAATTGTAATTGTCACGCTATATACAAATTAAATATTATAAAATTAAACTTTTGAGGGGGGCACACATATATAACCATATTAAAAAACAATAGAAAAAATAAAAAATAAGTAGGTCAGGTGTTGATATTAAAAATAAAGAAAGCATATCCTGACCAGGAGCACATGTGCTTTACAAAAGACAGAGCGCCATCTGGTGGAACAGAAATCAACTAAACATTAATTTAGCCTGTTCCCTGATATTTGGCGTACCCAATTTCTTGATAAATCAAGAAAAGCCTTCCACGAATTGAATAATGTTCCACCAGATGGCGCTCTGCCTTCTGTAAAGCATATATGCTCCTGGTCAGGATATGCTTTATATATATATATAACCATATATATTTATAGATACACTAAAAATAGGATTTAAATTTTTGTGATATGCAACTATGTTTATATTTACATATATAGAGAGTGAATTATAATAACAGAGAATATATATTGAAAGAGATTTATCATTGTGGGATGTTGAGGAAATAGTTCCATCTAAGAGGAGAGTTCGACCAGAAAGGTTGTGGGCTCTTAGAGCCGATCGTTCTGCCGCTCCGTCCTCAGGAAATAAGTGGTTAGGTTTCCTTTTCCCTTCACGTAGGTCAGTCCGCGGCAGTCGCTCTCGTACCCACAGGCCGCCAGCGCCTTGGCCGAGGGTTCCGTCACCTGCAACGATCATTGAAATCAAAATCTTTTACTTCTTATGTTGATAGACGTATGAGAAACTGCCAAATTTTACCTGAACTTACTAGGGTTTGTCCTTTTTTTTTGGATATAAACTCCTCATAACGCAAATATACCAAGCCCGGATAAAAAAGGAGGAGGAGGAGCAGTAACTAGCTCGCAAAAAAACCTGGGTTCAGCTTGCCCGGCTGATAGTACCCTGTAAGGGCTTCAGGGATACAGGATGAGCAGCGTTTGTACTCCATGTTGGAGCGGCTGCACATGACGTCTGTTCCTCATGTCAGAGGCGGCCATTTCTTTTGGAGCTAAGTCGGCCTGCCACTGAGTAGTGCTTCCAGTCTTAATGACAAAGGCAGACGCATTCTACTTCACCCAGTCATGATGGTTACTATCCTAATATGATTGAGTGGAAATAAGAAAGAAGAAGATAGTGCAAATATGCGCCATTATGTTACCTGGATTTATAAATGTTGTTACGTTGATAGACACATGAGATACTGCCAAATTTTACCTGAACTTACTAGGGTTTGTCTTTTTTTTTTTTGAATATAAACTCCTCATAACGCAAATATGCGCCATAATGTTACATGGATTTATAAATCTTGTTACATTGATAGACACATGAGATACTGCCAAATTTTACCTGAACTTACTAGGGTTTGTCTTTTTTTTTTTGAATATAAACTCCTCATAACGCAAATATGCGCCATAATGTTACATGGATTTATAAATCTTGTTACATTGATAGACACATGAGATACTGCCAAATTTTACCTGAACTTACTAGGGTTTGTCTTTTTTTTGGATATAAACTTATCATAATCCATTATTATGGATGGCTCATTTTAAAAAATAATGTATATATATATAGCGGGTTGTTACCTGGATGCGACCCATGAGTCCGCAGCTGTCCATGCGGCTGGCCACGTTGACAGTATTTCCCCAGATGTCGTACTGTGGTTTCTGGGCTCCCACCACACCAGCGATAACAGGACCGTGGTTGATCCCTGTCACCACAGCGACATTCTACATGGCATATGTAACTGCGTGCGGTACGGTTTCCATTTCAGGAATCTGTATCGTCATCAATTTATATAGAAATTGTATTTATCACGGATTTTACCACAGAATCTGTAAGCATGCTTCATTCCATGAACTTTAGCGCGCCATCTGTTATCAAAATACGAAACTATTATAGACGCGTATGATTCTTTTAAAAATAAAACAATTTCTACTGCCCTTACTGCCCTCCCATTAATTTTTTTCATCGCAGTAAGGACAGTAGAAATTGCTTATTTTTAAAAGAATCATACGCGTCTATAATAGTTTCGTATTTTGATTCCACGAACTGAACAAAGATAAATATAAGTTAAATAATCGCCTATATATCTTTATATATTATTAAAAGAAGAAAATCGTAAGGAAAAGTGTTTCTTGTAAGCTTTTTAACCGAGCTTTTCTGCCTTTCTACAGAGTACAAATGAGCTCAGCTGGCTGTAGATACTGACCGACCCTAAGCCGGAAGCGCTGGAAGGACTCTCGGTTGATTTGTTCCAGCAGAGACATGAGCGCCAATGCGAACTCCACCAGGGTGACCAGGTTGTGTCCCTCACGGCCCTCGCCCTAGACACCACAGAGTGGCTGTCAGTCAGCTGGCAGGGTATCCAGGCTGCTCTCACCTTGTCGGACTCCTGGCGGCAGGAACAGTGACATCGTGAGTGAGAGTAGGATAGAGTCAGCAAGCTGGACGGATGCCTACCTGTTCCTTGCCCGGGTGTAAACCTGCGGCCGCCATGTAGGTGCTGCCAATTGTTTTGATCTTCTCAATTCCGCTGTACTTGGGCTTCAGCAGCAGCTGGTGACGTCACGACCTTGTTAACCATTCTACAGCGCTTGTAGACAATTCTTTATACGATGCATTAACGCGCCATCTGTTATAAGACCTCATAAATAAAACATTTATCAACACGTAGTAGAAAAATAATTGACCACACAGACGCAGGCGCTCAAGTTTTTTCGAATTTATAAGCTCGAGTATATCAGAACATTTTCTAAATTCAATATGGACTGTATTGAAAAACAGCGAGCCTGCATAGAGTTTTGCTTTAAATTAGGGAAAACAGCTTCCGAATCATTCCAAATGTTGAAGTAGGCTTTTAAAGAAGATGCCCTATCACAATCGAGAATATTTGAATGTTTTTCACGATTTAAAGCTGGTCGAACATTGCGTCAAGGATGATCCACACACTGGCAGACCTTTATCGATAAGAAACCCCGAAAGTGCACTCAAAAACAAGTCATCGATCAAAGAAAACCCAAGAATAACTATCAGAGAGCTATCAGAAGACTTGGATATCTCTTTTGGAACATGCCAAACCATCATGAAGAATGATTTGCATCTTAAACGATCCCCGGCTAAATTTGTCCCACATCTCTTAACGAATGAGCAGAAAGAGCATCGCAAAGAAACGTGCAAAAACATGGTCGAAATGTTTAATTATGATCCCCATTGGCTCAAAAATGCTATCACTGGAGATGAATCATTGGTGTACGGATATGATCCCGAGACTAAGAGGCAATCAAGCCAGTGGCTAGAGCCTGGAGAACCAAGATTCAAGAAAGCAAGGATGATCAAATCGAAACTTAAATGTCTTCTTATAACTTTCTTTGATGTAAAGGAATTGGAACACTATGAATTCGTGCCCGAGGGTCAGACCATTAATTAGCATTACTATCTTGATGTATTGCGACGTTTAAGGGAGGCTGTGTTGTCAGAAACGACCCGAAAAATGGCATCAGTAAAATTGGCTCTTGCACCATGGCAACGCACGGCCACATACGGCCGTCACTGTACCACTCTATTTGGATAAACACGGAATTGCTTTACTACCCCCAGCCACACTATTCTCCTGACTTTGCTCCCAACGACTTTTTCCTTTACCCTAAAATTTAAAAAGTCTTAAAAGGACGTCGATTTGACTCAATACCTGAAATAAAGGAGAATACGAGGAATATTTTGAAAAGCCTGAAAGATGAGGAATTTCGGAGGTGTTTTGATATCTGGAAAAAAAGATGGAACAAGTGTATAGATAGTGACGGTGATTATTTTGAGAAATTTTAAATAAAACTTTATTATACTTTTGTATTTCTTTAATGCTAAAATTCCTGGAAATTATTCATAACATTGTGTAAATATGAGCTCATACAGAGAGTGTTGTGAGAATTAATAGATATAAATATTGTTAATGTGAGAATAGGTTTTCCCAGTAAAAGGCCAACTTAGATATATTTAGAAGATTATGTTCATCTAAATTCTTCAGTTCGCACCTTTAATAAATAAGATATTTATTTTAAAAGATGGTAATTATTGCGATTCACACAACACTTCCCAAATTTGTAGAATTTTTATCGTTATCTTCTTTCAAACTTCTAAGAAACTTTGGGGATTTTTCTGTTAGGACTTCTTGTGACTAAAATTACTGCTCTTTATAAGACATTACTATATTCTCGTATCCAATGTCATATCCTCGATGGCATGAATGATTTAAGGAAAGGCAAGCAGGTGACACAAGATGATACCTCATTATTTGGTTATACAATGTATGGTGATGATAAATAACAAGTCAATGACAACGATACTCTGTTGTCAATACAACAATAGAGAACACAAAATAAGAACATTAAGTCACCATCAAGTTTCCATTGACCATTCTACAACTCTTGTAGACAATTCTTTATAATAGGTGGCGTTCTACACAGTCTAGCCATAAATTCTGTTACAAGCAATTTTATAAATTAAATGATTAAGAACAAAAACTAATTGAATATATAAATACATTAGCCAATAGGGCATAGATTTTAAATATATACAATCATTCAAAATGTCCTCCCTTATTTTTGACACAGGATCTCAAACGTTCGGGCCACTGATCTATGGCGGCACGCACCTTTTCTAAGGGTATTTCTTTCATTGCTCTCACCAATGCTGATTTCAATTTATCCAAATTATGATATCTTTTAGAGCCCACCTTCTCCTCTAAATATGCCTCCTCTATATATCATGATAGTTACCTCGAAGTTTATGCTAAGACCTTCCTATCTTCTCCTACATTTATTCTGGAAGAATCTGTATAAGATCTAAATGTCTTAATAAAGCCTTTTTGTTGTTGTTGATTACTGGTGCTATTACTGTTATTCCTGCATGTATCCTACATTTCTTCTCGAAGAATCTGTATAAGACTAAAATGTCTTAATAAAGCCTTTTTGTTGTTGTTGATTACTGGTGCTATTACTGTTATTCCTGCATGTACCCTACATTTTTTCTCGAAGAATCTGTATAAGATCTAAATGTCTTAATAAAGCCTTTTTGTTGTTGTTGATTACTGGTGCTATTACTGTTATTCCTGCATGTATCCTACATTTCTTCTCGAAGAATCTGTATAAGACTAAAATGTCTTAATAAAGCCTTTTTGTTGTTGTTGATTACTGGTGCTATTACTGTTATTCCTGCATGTACCCTACATTTTTTCTCGAAGAATCTGTATAAGACCAAAATGTCTTAATGAAGCCTTTTTTTGTTATTACCTCGATGAAAATGTCATTGGAAGAGAAGTTTCAAAAGAAACTTTTCCCTGGAGGCTTAATGCTCTTCTATATATATAAAAATGAATGTATGTGTGTGTGTGTGTGTGCACCATGCACCAATATCCAGGCACCAGCCTGCTTTGAGCACCCTAATTTTTTCAAAGTAAAATTGCCGGAGAACCCGATCAACCGGTAAAAGCCAACCGGGCCCACCAACGTGCTGTCGGCCCCAACGATAGACGCTTTGCAACGCATCGAAGGGAGCGCGACTGAGATCCAACTACGAGCTTTTTAACCGCAACAACTTTAATATACGCTATTGGAGCTAGAGTTACCGCGGCTGCTGGCACTAGACTTGCCCTCCAATAGATCCTCGTTAAAAGGTTTAGAGTGTACTCATTCCAATTACGGAGCCTCGTTAGAGTCCCGTATTGTTATTTTTCGTCACTACCTCCCCGTGCCGGGAGTGGGTAATTTGCGCGCCTGCTGCCTTCCTTGGATGTGGTAGCCGTTTCTCAGGCTCCCTCTCCGGAATCGAACCCTGATTCCCCGTTACCCGTAACAACCATGGTAGGCGCATAACCTACCATCGAAAGTTGATAAGGCAGACACTTGAAAGATGCGTCGCCAGTGCTAGGACTGTGCGATCCGCCATAGTTATTCAGAGTCACCACGACTATCGGAGTTGCCCCCGTTTGGTCTTGGTCTAATAAAAGCACCCTCACCCTAAAAGGGACGAGGGCTCAATTGCATGTATTAGCTCTAGAATTACCACAGTTATCCAAGTAAATGTGTACGATCTAAGGAACCATAACTGATTTAATGAGCCATTCGCGGTTTCGCCTTGCTAGGGCGTGTACTTAGACATGCATGGCTTAATCTTTGAGACAAGCATATGACTACTGGCAGGATCAACCAGGTATCCTTCGCCAGTCCCCGCCGCGAGACGCCCTCGGGCCGCCTCGCCGGGACCACGCTTAGGGACGCAGCGCCCGCCTCTCCGTGGCCACTGGTCCGGGCACTTTCCACGCATCCGTCCAGACGCGAGTTCGCACAACCCAGCCGGTACGCCTCCCGCGACCGCGCTGTAAAATAACCGCTTTCTACAGGTTAATAATCGCTCGGTAAGCCAACGAGGAACGCCATTGGTAATGTGTGTGTGTGTGTGTCTGTCCTTTATGCCTGACCAAACCACTCATTGGAAAGCCATGAAACTTTAGGAAGTTATTTAGTATAGTACTGGGAAGGTTTCTGAAAAATAATTTCTTGGTGGCAGCGCCACCATTGCGACGATGATAACAAGTTTTTTTATCTATAAGTTTCATTATCACTAAGTTTATTATCTTAAAGATTATTTATCAAAAGTAAGATTATCTCAGGATGACACGGCAATTTATTTGAGACAAGAATAATGATTCAATTCCAAGGCAAATATACTATTCCTTTAACTTCTAATTACCAAGGGAACCAATTAATATTGATTTTATTCAACTTATCGAGTATTTTTCAAATAACGATGATTTTGTAATGTAAAAAATTAGGAAAGACAAAATTCAGGATGACACGGCACACAGGGACCGGGAAAAAATGTTTACTTTATCGAGAGATTCAAATTTACGAGTTTCAAATTATAAAAATATATATTTTATTTTTTTATTAAGTGTTTATAGAGAATTGTTTTAACAAATGTTCGTTTGACAAACCTTTACTCGGGTAAAACCCGGGCGAAGCCGGGTACATCCGCTAGTTTTTTATAATTTATTCAAGGGATTGTTTTATCGAATCTTTAATTTATTGAATCTGAAAAACCATTTTGGACAAGATAAAAGACTTAGGAAAATAAGAGAATTTTATTCTGAATTCATATTCAAAACAGCAACAGCCATATGAGATCTGCCATTGGTTAGGAACCCAAATTGCCGAAATTTTCATTCCTAATTGCATATTTTCGTGAATAATGGAATGGAATAATCCCACTGAAAGATCCGTTATCGTCTGATATGATAATTTATTACTTCTGGGATTTTTTACTGCAATTTGGTTGATTTTTTTTCTGTTTTCTTCTCTATAGTTCTTACGACTCTTGGATTATATTGGATTAAGCTTCTCGTTGACTTTTAAAGAGGCTATACCATTTAAAAACTGCAGTTTCTTTAGGTATGTCTCGCCGAATGCCTCTAGAAGCTTTATAAACCTTTCTGTAATTGGAATTTCATTTTTTAAATACAGAATCGAATGCATTTTAGTTGTTCAGATATTATAGGCATTGGAAAATGGCTGATAGCATGCTTTTAGCAAACAAAGATTTCTGCATTATAAGAAGAAAAGAGGAAAGAGAGAGAACATAAGAATATTGAACGAAAAAAATGTATGTGATGTTTTTAAGGCTTAATGTGTGTGTTTCACGAATTGTAAACACATGCTCCTTTTTTAGTCTATGGTCAGATTTTTTATTATTATTAATAATACCGGCAATTTAATGATAGCACCTTGTAATATACTTATGGACAAAACTTAAGAAAATATAAGTCTTTGATGTCGCCGGTTGTCTGTTTTTTTTTTTTTTTGAAGGAGACCTAGGCAATTTTGTTCATACTTGGTTATCTCGTGTGTCATCAATAAATGTTACTATGTATCAAATATATTTCAGAGTTATTCTCTGAATACCGATAAACATACCAAAAGGTACAACTTTCTTGAGTTTTGTCCATGAGTGTATATACACTTGGTTATCTCGTGTGTCTTCAATAAAGGTCACTGTAATAGCTTACAGAGTTATTGTCTGAATCCCGATATACATGCTGAAAGGTACAACTTCCTTAAGTTTTGTCCATGAGTGTATCTTTCAGAGTTATTGTCTGAATCCCGATATACATGTTAAAAGGTACAACTTCCTTAAGTTTTGTCCATGAGTGTATCTTTCAGAGTTATTTTCTGAATCCCGATATACATGCTGAAAGGTACAACTTCCTTAAGTTTTGTCCACGAGTGTATCTTTCAGAGTTATTGTCTGAATCCCGATATACACGCTGAAAGCTACAACTTCCTTAAGTTTTGTCCATGAGTGTATCTTTCAGAGTTATTGTCTGAATCCCGATATACATGCTAAAAGGTAAAACTTCCTTGAGTTCTGTCCATGAGTCTATCTTTCAGAGTTATTGTCTGAATCCCGATACATGCTGAAAGGTACAACTTCCTTAAGTTTTGTCCATGAGTGTATCTTTCAGAGTTATTGTCTGAATCCCGATATACATGCTGAAAGGTACAACTTCCTTAAGTTTTGTTTATGAGTGTATCTTTCAGAGTTATTGTCTGAATCCCGATATATATGCTGAAAGGTAAAACTTCCTTGAGTTCTGTCCATGAGTCTATCTTTCAGAGTTATTGTCTGAATCCTGATATACATGCAGAAAGGTACAACTTCCTTAAGGTTTGTACATGAGTGTAAGTACACTGGGTGTGTTGTACCTTATCGAAGTCACAGATGATCTCGTTCAGCAGCCGCAGACACTCCAGTCCTTGCTTGTTGATGTCCGTCTCGTCGTAGAATTCCTTGTAGTTGGGGATGGAGGCAAACATGACGGCCACGCTGTTGTACCGCTCGTGGTACAGCTCCTGTATACACCGCACACGTTATATAATAAAGTAATTGTATTATGTATTATTATGTATTCGCCGTAATAATATTATTCACCAAGTAATAAAGAAACAACGTTTTAAGAAAAACACGAACTTTTGGATCTTATTGGTAAGTACCAACAACAGATAAGCTTATAAAATAATTTCACCCGCATTACAAAAATTTATATTCAGATCCCATGGCAGAATTTAATTAGTGACTTCCCACTACCGGTCAAACGATGCATTGCGCAATTAAGAATCTTGTTTACATTTTTTATTGAAGACCATATAAAAACTATGAAATCAGAAAATATCGTATGTGTATTGTGCAGGGATAATTTTGAGTCAGAACTAACTCACTTTACCTGCAAACATCTGTATGAAGAAAGGAAATTAATTTTCAATAATACGAGCGCTAATCATTTATCACTCTGCTGTCAGAAACGGTGGAAAGTAGACACAATAGATTTATACACATTTTGTGAGAAGGCAAGAAGGATGAGAAACAGTGTAAATAGTTTTTTTTTGGGCTTATGTTAATACAACATCAACAACAACAAAAAGGCTTTTATTAGGACCCATTGCCCTGTATGGATTCGCCATACAACAACAAAATAATAGAGTATTTTTTTCTCCATTTCCCCATGTGAAAGTGAGACTTTGTTTGAAAAGGGGATTTATTTACACATCTGTTCTAAAACTTTCCTCACTACCTCTTTTGTGTATGAATCTATTTACAATTGATCTGTAGACATTATAGAGTTCTATTGCTATATTTTTCTTTTCTGAAATATTATAGTTGGCTGATGTTAATACTGAATTGTATATTGTACTTGATTTATGTTCAATTAAAACCATTGCTATACTGGGAGATTCCTGTATGGGGCTTGATCCCTGATAAAGGTTTGTGTATGAACCAATTAAATGATAGAAATATCTCGAGATATAAAAGAAGAAAGTGTCAATAAAGCAACAAGGAAGTAAAGGAGACAATGGACGAGGAGACAGGCTCCATATTTACGGCGTGACAAAAACCCCGAGTTCACACCCCGCACTATAAATTATCCTTAATTAGGATTGTTAACACTCGCAGAGACTAACGGGATGAGAGAACCTTTAATTACCGACTAATTGAACACGCTGAAAAACAGACGAAATAAATGGCCGCCACACGCGGAAATATTAATTACTCTTCCGAACGGTGTCATTTCAATTTGGTAACCCGGCTGTGATTTATTTTATCTGTCTCTCGGGTATGTACCATCCGACAATATCTACTGGTTTCTGACTAGAGGGCTCTGGAATCACAGAAATTGTTATAGTTATATTTTAACATCGTTTTTATTCATAGTTTTACTCATCCTAAGCCCACGTGGTACAGGCTATGCAATAAAGTTGTCCTAAAAGTTCGTGTTTTTCTTATTACCTAGGGAATAATATTATTACGGTGAATACGTAATACAATTACTTTATACATAATACAAAGATTGTCGTATATTTATATTTTAATAATATAATATTATATATAATATATTAATATAATAATAATTATAAATCCACAGATTATTATTCTGTGATATATTTATCGTAATATATAACTTATCATCATCATCATTCTATTTGTTAACTTGTAATTCTTGAGTTTGCATCTAATACGGTGTAATATAATAAAAGTCATTTAAATAAATAAAGCCTAAAATATATTTCTACTTTTAAATCAACCTAAATACACCACAAAGAAATTATACATAACGGCGAATAATATTGTTATTTCTATTTTTTGCAAGTTTTTACATACTTTTGGGATAACCTTGTATTTTGCCCATGTAGCTAGCGGCTACTTTCTAGTAACTGATTAATTATACATATAAATAAAATATATGCAAATACGATATGCTTCGATCTGAGAATGGCAGAAAAATATTGAAAATTGTTGTATAAATATTTCAAGTTAAATTAATTGTTCCCACAGAGTATGTGTGCGAGATCACAAGTAAATAGGTGCTAACCGTGAGAAGATAAGAGTTTCTTTGCTTACAACTGTTATAAGTTTTTTTGAACTCCGCCTTTGCCGGTCCCAAGCCCGGATGAAAAAGGAGGAGGGGGAGCAGTAACAAGCTCACTAAAACACCTGGGCTCAGCTGGCCTGGCTGATAGTACCCTGTAAGGGCTCCTGATCCAGGGATACAGGATGAGCAACGTTTGTACTCCATGTTAGGAGCGGCTGCACATGGCGTCTGTTCCTCATGTCAGAGGCGGCCATTTCTTTTGGAGCTAAGTCAGCCTGCCACTGAGTAGTG